AAAGGCCAACCCTGCAACCACGGCCCACTGGCAGCTGGCCTAGAGAACCAGATGCCTCTACTGGCTCTGCAGTCCCCATCTGAGTCTGGCAGGTGCACAGCAGGTCACAGCCAGGCAGCAGCCCCCACTGCCAGACTGCTGCCGTGGGTAGAGGGTACAGGGAACTCTCAGGGCTCCTTCAGCAGTCCAGCTGGCACAAGGGGTAGTGTTCCCAGATACCAATTGGCTGGGCCCCAGAAGCTCTTGAGAGCTAATAGCCCTGAACTACTTGCCAGGGCGGCTTTTTATACCGCTGGGGCCAGGACAGGGCAGCTTTTTATATTGCTGGGAACAGCACAGGTGCTGGCCCTGGGCTCTAGCTCCCCCTGGCTGAAGATCCAGGAGAAGCCAGGCAGGGTTATTTTGCCCCAAGTGGCACAATTTGCTCAACAACAAAGTGCATGTTCAAGCACGTGCGCTGAGGCAAAAAGCCCCAGCTCAAATTTGCACTGCTTCTATCTGAGCTGCTGCAAGTGCATGTACTTGCATGTGTGGACACGCCCCATGTGTTTGTGTTTGTTTGTTTGTTTTTGCTGCCTTCACTTATTTACAGCACAGTTGTCATAGCTGTGGTGGTCCAGAAAATATCTCAGACCACCTGTATCTTTGGCAGTGGCCTAATTCCAGGGGCAATTTGGGCCTGAAGCTTGTCTAACCTCTCTCCTAACTATACAGTTGGTCTGAAAGAAGGAAAGAAAGAAAGAATCCCCCCAAAGAAAAACAAAACCAAAAACACTCGCTGGAAAATACTTAGAGGCACTGTTCATATTTGGTTATTTATAATTAGTAGCAAGGTGTGGAAGACTTCTCTGATACAGAATAACAAAAGAGTTTGATTGATCGGGTCTCCATGTCAACACAGACACCCAGGCTGCAGCTTACACCTCATCATGCAGGGCTCAAAGCAAAATACGAATCCTGACAAAAGAAGGTCATGGGGTTGGCACTAGCTCATGGGTGGATCCAGAGAAGGTGCAGCGGCCTGCCTGTTGCCTTCTTTCTGACCATGCAGCAGGAGCAGCAGCCCAGGACTTAAAAATCCTGAAGAAGGTAAGAATTCCTCTCATCCTTCCCCTGTACTCAGAAGGATGTCCCCTCACCTTCCCTCTGCTCACTCTCTTTTCTCCCTCCCTACTTCCACTGCAAGTCCTGGGGATGAGGGGATCTCCTGTCTTGCTCCAGTCGGGCTGCTGGGGGTCTGGGATGAACCTGGGATACCAGCAGCAGCAGTGGCAGCAGGTGGGTGGGTTCCTTCTCTCTGCTTGCACCTCCCCGGTGGTCTCTGCTGGCCTGGGAGCAAGCAGGGAGGGTTGACCTGCCCATCTGCCACCACTGCTGGTCTCCTGGGCTGTGCTCTGCCTCCCTGCAGCCATGCTGGAGTGGAGTAGACGTTCTCCTCACCCCCAGGACAGCACAGACATCGGGGACACTAGCAGCAGAAGATAAGGGAGCAGGGAAGGGAAGGGGATGTTGTAGATTTAAAGTCAAACTGAGAAATTGGAAAGTAAATATTCACATGGAAGTCACTCATGCCTCGCTCCTTTCCTTGACATTTCCTCCTCACTAAGTTTGACAGCTTACCAAACCATGTATTAGCTTTTGTTAATTCTATACTGACTTTGGGCATCTAACTCTCCTCAGTCTTTGTCATCAGCAGTGAGTCTTGGATGATCACGTACAGATCTTGTACAGATAGCCAAGACACCCAAGTCAAGTGTGGAGACTCCATTATGTGGCAAGACACCTAAAAGTTAGGTGGTGCAACCCCTAAGTCCTCTTTGGGTATATCTACATTTCTTCCCTGTCACTTCTGAGGTCATTGTTCTCAAGCACACCCAGCTTACCTGTAAGACCTGGAAATGAGGTAGCGGAGCTGCTCTTGCCCTGATACTAGCACTAGTCTCAACTGTCATAGAGGCAGAGATCTGGGGAGTGTCAGCTGGGGGCAGCCCTGGGGTGGCTTTATCAATTTACTGGTGTGTGCAATGCAGAAGCAGGTGGGTGAGGCTTGAGACCACTGCCCTGGAAGTGCTAGGGAAGCAGTGCAAGCATACTCCTTGCAGGTCTAGCTCTTGTTTCTTTCTGTCCTCCCATATGAATTGAAACATACTCAGTTCTCAACAGCTAAAATCTATTTCCCATTCAGTACATTTAAAACTTTCAGCTGTACTTTTCTTCACTACTCATTGGTTGTTTAAAATTAGCATGTTATGACAAGTTAGGGCCAAATTCTGATCTCAGTAGCATCTCTATAAAGCCAGAATAACGTCATTGTCTTCAACAGAGTTACTCTGGAGTTTCATTTGTGTAACTAATTTCTATTTCTGGCTGCCAGCATGAGTAGAACTAAATTGTGCTTAATTGCAAAATGCAGGACCAGAAAAAAGCCTTAACATCACAATGTAACACTCTGCCACTGCTTAATAGCTGAACTGTTGGCAGATTGTCATCTCTGCCTTTTTTCTTAAATCTTTGGTAAGCATTAATCATCTCAGTGTATCTGTGTGATCTAGGCTGTTCATCAGAAAGAGGCTTTAACATGATGCTGCATCTTGTGTTATAATTTGGAATCTGAGCTCCAGCTCCTATAATGATGGAGACACAAGGTGTCTAGGCTGTTTCTATGCTAACCTCTTTGCACCCACTATGTGTCCCTGTAGTTTCTACCATAGCAAAAACACTTCTAGCTTGATAACTTTATCCTGACTATAGAGGAAAACACTATCTGTTCTGGTTAAGCCATCATAATCACGCAGATACCATTACCTGTGCCAACACCTGAGAAACAAAAGGAAAAAGATGAAGAAGAATAAGCAATGCAACTGCAAAGCCTGCATTTGCAGCATAACTCTAAAAGTATCCACAAAAGGTGTAAAGGTGATTTCCTTCTTTTTCATATCCAAGCATTTTTCTTTTGAGGAAGAAAAATCTCTTTGTATGAACAAGTGAATGCTGATCAAAGTGTTTGCATATAAAATGTTTTAACTACAAATTGTACATTATTGGTCATTTTCCATTTTTGTCCTATTGCTTTGCAAGAGCAACAAATAAATTATAACAAAACATAATTTGACTATTTTAGCAGGGGATGCAGGCAGTTCTGAAAGTGGATAAAATAATAACAAAAAATAAGTTTCCCTCATATACAACCTTCATGTTATCATATTTAGCCTTACATTTCTCCTGAAATAAATCAATGACAAAAGAAGGATATGTAAGAATTAATTTCTCTACTGTTGACATGCAGCTGCCCCTAGGGTGAGGGAACTTGCTAAATAGCAATACACAGCAGCACTGCATAGCAGTTTGAGGAAGAACTAAAAAAGAATAATATCTCCAAATGCAAATACAGTGGGAAGCTAAATGCAATTAACTGCGTTTGAGTTTGGTTATAACAGGGCTGACATCCCACCTTGTACAAAAACATCCATTGGATCTTTGAAGACTGCAAACAAGGATTTGGTTTTACTTCTCATCCAAAAGACAGACACAAATAAACTAAAGGAGTTTGATCCAGTGGTTTGAATTATGTAATGTGAATTTCAATTTCTTGGCTCAAGCTTCAAAGCAAACAAGAAGGAAAAATAGATGCTGTTCATCTATTAAGCACAAGAAACAATCTCCATCCTATACACTTACACTGATTAATGATAAATTTGTGGTTATGAGAAGTATAAGGCATTCTCTCTATTTTTACAGTAATTATTATTGATCAACAATGCACTTTTTGCCCCCCCCCCCCCCCAAACAACAAACCTTTCTTTCCTGTGTGTTTTGT